CCCCAACTAAAACCATCAGGCAAGTTCTTCATATATTTGGTATTAAGTCAAACCTTCCACATCCTGTGTTTGTATGGCTCATTTCCGGGCCCAGATGTAAGGCTTTACATTTATTCCTATTAACTTCTTTCTGTTTGATTCTCTCCATTCTTCCAAATGCCTCTGTCATCATACATACCGTCAACCTCTTCAATGCCTTGGCATTCATGGCTGCTCAGCAGGCCACCATCACTAATGTCAGTACTCAGCAGGCCAGCATTAAAATAAATGTTCAAGAAAAACTATTCTTGCACGCTTATATAGATGGAATGCTCATTGGCAATATTCAGGGACAATTTCTCACACAACTAATAAACCTTCTAGAGAGTCATGCCATTTAGCAAACTGAGTATTTTCTGCATTATCCACAGGATACTGTGAGATGATACAATTTCTGACATCCAGAAAGTTTCCCTTATACTGTGAATTCTTGAGGTTAGAAAGGTTCTCAACTTTGCATTATTGATATTTAGATTGGATAATTCATTCTTACAGAGGATGGAAGTTGTATGCAGAGTAGGATGTTTAGAGATTTTTACCTAGTAAAAGGCAGTAAAAACTCCCTCTCCCCCAGACTTTTGCAGTAATGAGAGTCAGAAATGTCTCTACACATACCCACCTTCCTTGGGTAGGCAAAATGGCCTCTTCTCATTGAGAATCAGCACTCAAGACTCTGTGTTTCTATGAACTAATCTACTTATCTACTAATCTACTTATCATATGGGTTTGTTAACATGTTCATGGTAGAGTTATAGGTAAAGTGTTTGCATACACCAATCATTCCTTTATCAGGAATTACATATGCAGCTAATTTATAAAAAATATATGAATAATAAGGAAAACAACATGACAAATAAATGTAATGAGGATAATATAATCCTGATGTTTAGAACAAAGGTTAGATTAATACTTGGGTAAAGATAGAATAAGAATAATTCCACAAGAATTGTGTAGTTTGAGGTAATCTATAAGGACGTTGTACCAGGATGCTTATTAAAGTCTATCTGGAACAACAAAAATATGTAGGCAGAACAATGGTTTGACAATAGAAGATAATAACTTATCTAATCACACAGAATACTCAGCAGTGTTCAAAAGGACATGTTTTAAAAACATAAATGGCAAGGGAAAGTATTTGAAATATCATGATGTGAAAATATAACTATGTTACCTATGCAGCATGGATAGCAAGTTTCCAAAGGATAAGTAGGTATAGAAAACAGATTATAAAAATATTAACAGCTATGGGATTGTGATATAGTTATTTATAATTTCAATAATCTTTATATTTTTATGCTTCCAAAATGTTCTTTGTGAGCTTTTGAGCTTTCCCCACCCCTGTGATATGGGGTGTTAATTCTAAACCAATGTTTCTTAACATGTGGGTCAAAGCTCCCTGGAGGGGTCAAATGATTCTCTCACAGGGGTCACCTAAGACCATTGGAAAACACAAATGCTCACATTATGATTCATAAGAGTAGCAAAATTACAATTATAAAGTAGCAATAAAAATAATTTTATGGCTGGGGAGTCACCAGAACTGTATTAAAGGGTCGTAGTGTTAGAAAAGTTGAGAACCACTGCTCTAGAGAACATGACTCCTATTGGCCTAGGTACACTGAAAAAGATTCTTCACAGGTCCTGAAGAGCACATTAGGTAGGTAGGATGCTTCAGAGAGCCACATGAAGGAAGGTAATCATATTTGTAGACTGGGTCACTCAGTCTTCTTAGGAAAAAACTCTGTGTAGTTGGTTTCTTTTAAACTTTTTGGGGGCCTACCACCCAGCACCTAAATAAATACATAGAAACTAATTCTTACTTATGAATGCCCGGCCTAAGCTTGGCTTGTTTCTAGCAAGCTTTTCTAACTTAAATTATCCCATTTCTCTTTAATTATGTTTTGCCTCTGGGCTTTTTACCTTTCTTTATTCTCTATATATCTTTCTGTCCTTCTTACTCCATGGCTGGCTATATGGTTGAGTGGCTGGCCCCTCACATCCTCCTCTCCTTCTCCTTTTCTTGCTCCTTACTCTCTTCCCTAGATTTCTCCTCCTATTTATTCTCTCTGCCCGCCAGCCCCGCATATCCCTCTCCTGCCTAGCTATTGGCTGTTCAGCTCTTTATTGGATCAATCACACAGCTTTACAGAGTTAAACAAATGCAAAATAAAAGAATGCAACACATCTTTGCATCATTAAACAAATGTCCCACAGCATAAATGAATGTAACACATCTTAAATTAATATTTCACAACAATCCTGTGTATCATTTTTCATAAAATAAGAAGGCCTGATGTCCCAGCTGCATCCTATTCCTCCAAGGCAGTGTTTCGCGGGTTTGAGAAAGCCAAAGAGCCACTTCAGATTTATCTATGAAGTAAACAACAGTTCCTGGACTGCAACTCTCAACATTTACATTCTTCAGTGTTGGGTGGGGCTCAGGGATCTTCATTTTTAGAAGCTCTTTTAGCAATTCAGTTGGACACATGTGGTCCACAGACTATGTTTTATGGTTTACATTCTTTTTTTCCCCACCTCTACTTTTGGTAACTTCTTCTTGGTTGTGCAATGAAGGAAGTTGATTTAAACTTTCTTTGGTGTATTGGTAAACTGGTTTCTCAAAACAAAAAAATCCATTTTAAAAGAACTTTCTTTTATCTGTGTACCCATTTCAAAGAGTCATCCATTTCTACATCCATCCATTTGCCAATGGCCAAAGCAGCTCATCCAATTTTTGAAAGTTTAAAAACTGGTTCTGACAAACTGTTATTACCAATGCTATACAGTTTGTACTTTATTTAAGGGCTTTAAATACTTTGAAAATGGTTAATGGAAAACTATTACACCCCCAAGAACTATGACAGAATTAGTAAGCAATAAGATAACGTGACTCATTTCAAAGAAACGGATTTTGATTATATTAAGAAAAAAGGACAATAAGAACATTTTATCATTACTTTCTATTTTCATTTTCCCTCCATAGCAACTAATCATAAGGAATAGTACACTTGCTGAGATCTGCGAGAGCTGTAAATTGGTTTCCTATGGATGATGGACAGCCAAGGAACAGCACTCCAGGGCTGTGAGCAACACCACACTTTCAGCCTCCACCTCCACCCTCCACAGTCCTCATAGTCTTCAACCACTGAGTGTTGAAATGCCTTGGCCATTAATTCTAAGAACCCAACCCTAAAATCAGCCCCTTCAACTTCTTCCTCAGTGCCTGACTGAGACAATGTTGTTGTCTGTAGGAAACCTGTATTGGATCTGTTTTATGTATTCATGTGTGAGAGGTGGCTTAAGTGCAGGCTAATAGTACAGTTCTTTCAATATTTTCACCAGACATATTTTAAGAATATTGGTCCTGAAGCCTATACAGTCGGCTGAGGCAAATTTACAGCTTTGCTTTTAAGAACAAAACTCCCTCAGGTGCCTACTTCCTAAAGGTAGAACTAGAAAGGAAATGAAGTCTTGCTTAAAGACAGCCCACCTGATTTTATGAGTTATCAATTTTCTAGCTGGCACACAGTCCACTCGCTACTGGGAGATTTTACCCTCATCTCAAGCAAGCAATGAACTGCAAAAAATGTCCAGTCTGCATTCTAGCAAACAGCTCAGATTCCTGAAGATGAGGCATGGGACACAGTCTCAATAAATGAAGTCAGGGGAGCAGCACATATGTATGATGTGGGCTCCCAGCACCATGTCTCTGCTAGTGCATGTGTTGAGAATCCGTGCCTGCATTACATTGACATTCCAGGATTACAGAATCCTGGGCTATGATGGGGAGTACCTTTCTTGTCTCTAGGGTAGCTCTGTCAGGTGGATAGTCAACAACAATGCAGAGCACTTGATTTCCTTTTAACTGCTCTGGTGACCCTGGAACCAGAGCTTATCAACTTCTCAAGAATGAGAAAGGACTAAATAGCTTCTCCCCCTCCCTCTTATTGGTAAAGTCAGTCTTCTCAATGGGAACTGACTGCAAGATGGGGTTAAAGGTTAATAGGAGATACTTCAGACTACTGTGTGCTAGAAAACGCAGTGAATAGATGTGGTTCTCTTAGTACATACACTACATTGGTGAAATATAAGAATGGACTCTTAAAAACCATAAGGATAAACTTAGCTAATGAGCAATTGAAAAACTGGATACATTGGACTTCCTCTGAGAAATCACAAACAAATATGTATGATTAGATCCAGCTCTGCCTCATCTTAGTCTTTCTCTGAGCTTTATTTTGTTAGGAAGGCAAAGAATTTGCAGGAGCTGTATGAATATTCAGGTGCATGTTTTAAAGTCAGATATTTACACATCTACTTGGGAGAAGTGCTAGAGTTAACATCAAAGATGTGTGAAGGACCTCTTGTCCAAATGGAACACAATGTTCCTCAAATAGGAGAATTCGGCCCTCACAAACTACCATTACTGCTGAGTATGAAACAGGCCCTTTAACAGATGGACAGCATACTTTTCAGCTTGCTGATAGCCTAATAAAAGACAGTAGCTTTTGAAAAATGGAGGACAGGGGGACATGTACTTCTCCAATTACATGACCCAAATGGAGTTAGCAGAATATAATTAAGAAGGGTATACAGCAGGCTGTCAAAAATGAGGAACAGACTGGGGGAACTGGAGAGTTCTAAACATCAATATCAAAATGACCTTTGGATTAGCAGGGAAAGAAAATCATTCTTTAAGTCATGGGAAAATATGCACTGCTGGAATCAGAACTGGGAGCAGCATAGTATGGGACTATGGGACTGATAAAATGAAAGCACAGCTGTGATTTCTTCTTATAAATATGATAAAGATTCCCTGGGAAGGCGGGTCACTTTGTCAGGAAGGTACCAGCCCTCTGCTAGGCTTCTTAAAGTAAAATCTCTCCTGTTGGTTACTGGGAGTTACGAACTTAAACACAGATTCCGTAGTCCACAAGGGAAGGCTCTGAGTATTTGTTTACCTTTCCCTCTCTTCTTTCATTTTATCCAGCTCTTCTTCTCCCTGGTGCCCGGGCTTCTGGGTACCTTTCTGCTCCACCTTTCCCACCTTATCATCTTTCTTCTTTCCGAATCTAGAATGGAAGGACAAAGTTCATAACTCATACTTTCTCTTTGGCAAATGTAAGATATGAATGCCATGAGCTCATTCAGCTATAATTCTTTATTCTAAACAACACAAGAACAGTAGCATGAAACAGAAGTAAAATAAGATTACAAAAGCAGGAAAATAACAGTTGCTGAATTTTTTTCTCTCTCCCCTCTTTCACATATTTTTGTATCAAGCATAGTGTTATGTGATTAAAGGTGAACAATTCTGACTATTAATCAATGAAGAATTAAAACACAGAATGATTACCATTCATATGTAACTAAAAGCTGAACAATTTTCTAATGAGACCCTCCAGAACTTCAGTCCATTGCCATTTTAAGGAAAAATAAATGAGATTATGTAATTACAGGTAACAAGGGACCTTACTGAATACTCAGTTGAATGCTTTCCTTTTATCAGGGAAGGCTCAAAAGCTCTGGGGGAAAGGGGGTGGGGTGGGGGAGGGTTCTGAACATTGACACACACTTCCTACTGGTTCTGTCCAGGCCTGGGATTAGAACTCATCTACACTGCATGCTGTTCTCTTTCTTCCAGGTCACATTTACTCTACAATACAGCCCCCAGTTCCCAAGTTGCTTTAGGTTAGTGTGATTAGCACATTGTCACATCTGTAGCTAACTGCACATAACAGCAACTGTGCTACTTTACAAAAACATCACATTTCCTCAGCATGTGTAGGAAAATGACACTGCACAGCTGAAGTGAAAGAAGGCTGTGGCTGAACTCTTACTAGGACATAGTGTGACAGTCCACATGAATGAAATGATCAAAGGAAAGTCCATCCATGGTGCACATTCTTCAGTGTAGGCAGATTCTTCTTAAATCTTTTTATCTTTAAATATTTATTCCTTTTTTATTGAATAGCAAATTTTAACTTTTTGTGTTAGCTCCAAATATATTATCTGTCTGTTGGCTTGTCCATCTGTCCATCCATCTATCCATCCATCTATCCATCCATCCATCCATCCATCCATCCATCCATCCATCCATCCATCCATCTGTCCATCCATCCATCCATTCATCCATCTGTCTGCCCATCCATCCACCTACCCACCTATTTGCCAGCTGGGAGTTCTTACAAATTAGCTGTGCTTAGCTAGTTCTCTTCCCCTTCCCTTGTGACAGAAATTAGAATCTCTTTATGTGAAGATGTGATATAAAATTTGAAGATGGTCATATATTGTCTCCAAATAGAATCACAATTTTTTTTAAAAAATTCACTGAATGAGCTCTTGTTTACGTTTCCTTTAGAATTCCTCTTTGGGTTATATTTCAGCCATGGAAGAGGTTGCTAACAAATGGCAACTCTGAGCATCGCACCCGGGAGGCTCATGGCTCAGCTAAGCCTGCCACCAGCATGGCGCAGGCCACAGAAATGCCTCCCAGGCTTGACCCTTCTTCCTACTTTTCAACTTACAGTTTCAGTTAACCAGTCTGTTCTCATAAACTCCCATAATTCACCCTTATCATCTATTACAATTTTCTTGCTATGTTGAGTCTTTCCTGGGACATTGGTCAACTGTCAGCCTTAGTTTCATTAGTTAGCTCCAAGGTCCTATGTCCATATATAAAATATTTTGTATTTTATATAATGTACTTTGATCATATTCACTCCCAACTCATCCCTCTAACACTTTCAAGTTCCCCCACCTACCTACTGCTCAGCTTCATGCTTTATTTATTTGCTTTTTTATAACTCATTGGAACTAATTTGTGCTGTTCATATACTCCTGTGTGTGTGTGGCTATCCCTTGGAGAGTGGAAAACTGTCTTCCCTAGAATCCATCAACTGTCCATAGGTTCAGGGCCTCAGTTAGGGGTGGGGGCTCACAACCTCACTTTTCCCTTCATGATTGGTGATGTTGTTCTGTATGCTGTGAATATGTGTTGCTCTGACTGGTTGATAAATAAAGTTGTTTGGCTAATGGTGAGGCAGAATAAGGTTAGGCAGGACATTCTAACTAGATAGAGATGAAGAAGAAAGAGAGAAAAGAGGAGATGCTACTAGCCGCCGCTAGGAAAAGCAAGGTGTAAAAGTACCAGTAAGTCACAAGCCACATGGAAAAGTATAGATTTGTGGAAATGGATTAATTTAAGATATAAGAGCTAGATAACAAGAAGCCTGCCATGGCCATAGTTTAAAAATAGTATAAGCCTCTCTGTGTTTATTTGGATCTGCAGGCTGCAGGACCAGCAGGTGAGAGAACTTTGTCCTGACTGCAGGCCAGGCGGGACACAGGAAAACTTCTGGCTACACCTTCATACTAGAATATTGATTGTTTTACTCCTATTGAGGTCTTATTCAGGCAACCACAACTGCTGTGAGTTCATGAGTTCAGTGGTCCTGTCATGACCAGAAGATGATGTCTCACTCCAGTCCTCTCCAACCTGTGACTGTTCCACTCTTTCTGGACCTCTTCCACAGTGTTCCTTGGGCCTTATGGAGGGGGTGTCATACAGATGTCCCAGTCTGGGCTCAGCACTCCACTGTCTCTTTTTCTCTGCACCTCATCCCTCCTCTCTTTCTACCCTGCTTCCACTTCTGAATCAATTCCTCTTCCTCACTGAAGATATGACCTGGCATCATTTATAGGAGCAGCTACAAAACCAAGAGAAAATGCAGACAAAAGTATAAGAATGTCAACTTTCAAATATAATTCAGATTTGCTGATATAGTCAAGACCTCGCTATAACCTACAGAGCGGGAGATATCTAAATAAGATTTCCATGAATAGATTCTGTAGCTTCCTAGGCTGTGCTCAGAAGAGGCTTAGGGAATCATTCTTACTCTAAATATATTCATAGGAGAACTTAGCACCTTCGCACATCACTTAGATAAAGAATTCTTCTCCCAAGATGCCATTGAATATAATAATGTTTGGATAGCAAATTTCAAACATTTGGAGAGCCAGGATAGAGAGGATGCCTTGGAAAGTTGATGGGAGCAGAGTGTTGCCAAAACTATAAGCCTGCTCCCCTCTACCCATGTCCTGTATTTTATTAAAAATTTGGAGGTTTTGGATTTTTCTGAGATAAAAGCAGCCTTGTGCTTGAAAGGTAAAAGAAACCTAGTCCCTGTTTACCTTCATGGTTCTCACCACACCCCAGGCATAGTTTTCCTTTGGTATCTAAACTATTTCACTCGAGCTGCAGTTCAAAAGTAGCTTGCTTGGCTCCCACCACAACGAAATATGTTTGACTGTTAGTTTTAACTTCTGCAAAGTATTTTCTTTTTTATCAAGAACTCCTCATTAAATCAGCCAGTTCCACAACTATTATAAATATTTCATTTGAAGTCCATTCTATTTAAGTTCTCTACCCAATAAGAAATGCAGAAATATCTACAAAAATTCTCTTGAAGGTTACAGATCACATTGTTTCACAGAATCTGGGTGGTTTGGGAACAAAACTAGGGTATAATGATCATGAAAAGGGCCCTGCCTTAAAAAAGTGAAGAAACACAAGCCCACGGAGGAGAGGTGTGTTCTATGATCACACTGATTTCTTTTTCCAGCTTTGTAGTCAGATGACTTTTTCTTCAATGGCAGAGGGAACAGCAGGGTTTGAGCGGCAAGGAGGAAAGCATCAATTTGCTATTTCCTTTTCGTAGCATCTCTCCGGGAGGTCATTTCACAGCATCCATGCTTACCCAAGACACAGAAAAGAGAGTTTGGGATGTTCATTTCCCCATTAACTATTTTCGTGAGAGAAGTCACGAGGCTGGCCATGATCACTGCTTTGCATGCTAGAGGTTCGGCACAGCCCCTGCATTCCAGGCCTCTCTATTTGTTGCCTTAGAAATGTGAGAGTTGGTGATTCTGGGCTAGGTGCCTTAAGGAAATTGCTTATAGGTTAGCCTGGCTTTATATAAAAGATACTTTGCTGAGAAATTCTGAGCACACATGTGGTTTCAATCAATAACATTTTATTTTACATGTACCTAGGTAGTCTGTTTAAAGAATCCCATGATGGATCTTTTGGTAAAGTGGAAAAATCACCTTTCAACATATTCTTTGTGCAAATTTACATTTTCATGAATAAGTTTGCTTCAAACACCTGACCCTGTTCATTTCTCTAGAGGTTACATGGAACAGCTTTGTGGGAAACTTCTGTCTCCTCCCTTTCTTCCTTTCTCCTTGCCCCCTCTCCCTTCCTCTTTTTCTTCCTTCTCCCTTTTCTCCCTCCTTCACTTATCCCTTTAAGAAGTATTTATTAGGCACCTACTGTGTGTCAGACATATTATAAACATTTGATATAAGTTCATATCAGGTTGAGATACAAAACTATCTACCAACCACATGGAGCATACGTTCTCAGGGAGAAGACAGTCCTCAAGTAAGCATAACTGGATAATCGCAAGTTGAGAAAGGTGTTAAGAAGGATGCTAAGAGAGATGATGGTAGGGCCTCCATCAACTAGAACGTACTAGGCACAGAAACGTTGTTTATCTGAGAATATACAAAGAAAATGGTGCCCAAAGGGAGTGGCACTATTAGGAGGTGTGGCCTGTTGGAGTAGGTGTGGTCTTGTTGGAGGAAGTGTATCACTGTGGAGGCGGGCTTTAAGGTCTCATATATGTTCAAGCCACGCCCAGTATCTTAGACTACTCTCTGTTGTCTGCAAGTCAAGATGTAAGAACTCTCAGCTACTTCTCCAGCATCATGTCTGCCTGAATGCTGCCTTGCTTCCTGCCATGATGGTAATGGACTAAACCTCTGAAACTGTAAGCCACCACAATTAAATATTTTCCTTTATAAGAGTTGCTGTGGTCATGGTGTCTCTTCACAGCAATAGAAACCCTAACTAAGACAGTCTATTTAGGAGGTTTAGCAAGAGAAGAGGTGGGAATCTTTGTATGGGATGGAAGGAGCACACAGAGACTGTGAGGTGGGGAAGGCATGGTATCTTTCAGTCAGTGAAAAGGGTGGCTGAAGCTGAGAGCCACTTCTATGAGATGTGGGT